TCATTCTGTGATTCTGTGTGATTCTGTGGTTGCCAGCCACTAGATCAAGTACTGGATCAGATTACCCAGGGCCCCATCCAACCTGGCCTTGAAAACCTCCAGGGACAGGGTATCCACAACCCCTCTGGGCAACCTGTTCCAGCACCTTACCACTCTCTCATTAAAGCAGTTAAGCTGAATTTCCTTTGAATATTCCTTCTGGCAAAAAAAACCCAAAATGCTACCAACATAATTTCTCTGTCTTAGTTAAGGCCAAAAGCCCTGCTTACTCTCCATACACGTGCAGAGGTGATGAGGATTCACTGTCATTTCGTACTTCCCTTTGATTGTTTATCCTTTACTTGTCCTAAAATACTAGCTCTGTGTTGTAACTGTGTGTGCAGCATTACCACAGCTGACAGGAATCAGTACTCCACTACTTTACCCGTTCCTCTTTATTTTGTTGCTCTGAATGGAGTGATAGCCATATAAGCCTCTTGCTATGCTTGGAAAAACAAAAACAATTAATTATATCGTACTTTAACTACAAGTTAATGTGTAATCCAAATGTAAAGGTCTCAAGAGACAAAAAACAAACACACTATGCACTACAGCTGTGTTGGATGCTTCATTCAAGTGATCCTGAAGCCATTAAGTTGCTGACAATCTCTGTTAAAAATATAATGTGAAAGGAACTTCACCTTGTATGGATATTTGGTAATTGTGCAACCCTCACTAATCATACTCTTTGAAAGTTCACAGGCTAAGAAGTCCTCCAGAAGAGCCTACAGGAAAGCAAAAATGAGGTTAAGAAATAATTTCTCTGAAACTCTTCTATTTGTCTTATAATAGCTGAAAAGGAACTTCCTGAGTTGCCCCAGTATCATAAAAGATTCCAGTGAGAGACAATTAACCAGATTCTCTCCTGGTATGGCAATCCAAACAAGAAGTTTGCTGTTCACATTTAATTAAACAATACATTAAATGCTGAGAAACGATTTTCAGATGGGGAAAATTCAGGTCATTATGTTGCAACTTGCTGTTTGAAAGACTCAGGATGCAACTGTGGTTAAGTTAGTGTCAACCACCAATAACTGAGCAGAGTTAATCATTGTCAAAGTAATTGAAATATTATTAAAATTATTATCATAACACTTAGAAGCCACAATAACACATTAGGTGTTCCTGATATTAGATGCTGTAGAGAGATAGAACAGAAAGATAGTACCCACTGTGAAAAGCTCATAGCCTACTTTATTATATGAGACAACAGAAGAATGGATGCAAATAAGCAGGAAAAAGCACACTGAAAATGTGTAGAGCTTACAGCAGAATGCTCTGCCAAGATCCCCAGGCTTCTTGGTAATTTCACTATAAAAATGAATCCACATCCTTGTCTAGGAGGAGGGCTACGATCCTTCCAGCTGAGTATTTCCATATATGTCTATAGTACATGTGCACCGAGCAGCATTTAGCAGCAAGGTAGCAAGACAGCAATGCTTGCAAATCACATGCATTCACTGTACATTCATTAGGTTTTTGTAGTACACATAAGCAGCAGATCCTGTGATCTCACTAGGAAAGTGTTTCAATACGCCCAAAAATGTCAGATAAATATTGCACTTCCAAAAAGTGCATTCGAGATTGTGGTAGTAAAAGGAGGTGAAATATTTAAAGTAAGCAATACACTTCTGCTCACATACTAATGACTTTCACTAAATTAGTCCTAATGCTTAAGCATATGGACAAAGATGCAGCAAAATGTTATTGAGCACCTGTGTAAGTCTGCACTCATTGCTCCATTAGAAGCCCTAGATTTCAGAAGAGGCTGCAAGTTCCCATACCCTACTGAAGCAGAATACCACACTTATATGTTGTAACTCAGCTGCACTGCTGCCAGCTGCTCAAAATCAGCCCACCTTCTTTTGGTGTATACGCTGCCATCACCAGCATGCACCCTTGGCTGCTACTGATAAGTGAGTTAACTCACTATTATTTGTTGCTATGATTTCTTTTTCTCAGATTTTCTAAACAGTTTTTAATCCTAAAACTTATCCATTCCCTACTCATATTGCATTTTGGGGGTGCCTACTCTGTAAAACTGGCATGTAGTTGAAAACTATTGTATATATTGGTGATTAAACAAACTCCGTATGTGGTTCAAAAGTTCAGCTACAATTTCAATGCTTTGGAGTAGAAAACGATAAAAAAGCAGAAGGTTAAAAAAAAACAAGTTGAAAAATATAGGATGAAAAATGCAGCTGAGAGGGGAAAGAGAAACTTGTAAATGAGCACAGAAGCAATTTGATTACCATATACAGTACACTTGTCAAATGCTACATTTCCCTGCTTTGATGTCTGATCCACAAGGGAAGGTTATTTGCTGCTCCTTCAGAGGCAGCTTGGTTTTGGTTTAGTGATTCAGCAGTTACCATTGGATCCTCTGCTCTGGACTTCTGCCAAACATAGCCCAGAGAATTTCACCAGTTGATTCCTGCACTAAGCTCAGTACCTTCTTGTTGAACTGTCTTTTAGGAAGACAGCTGTTCTTCACTGGATCCATAGGTGAGTTGTTTCAATTACTAATTTCCCTTGCTGTTAAAAAATTTGCACTTTATTTCCCATTTGAATTCGCCAACCTTTGTGCTAACAGTCACAGGTTTGTACCCTGATGACAGCTCATCTATCAGTTCAGCATCAGACAATTCATATGTGTCAACGCAGTTACTGGGAAGGAAACAATTCTGTCTTTGGAAAGACTTTCCTTTAGATGGGGCAAGAAAAAACAACCTTTAATAAAAACTACTTGGCAAGAAAAAAAACCCTTTAATAAAATCTCCTCTGTAACTAAAGAGGGAGAAACAATACAAGGAGAAATGTTACAGGGAGCAATCAGTAATAGCACTAGCTAGAGTGACAAGCTTGAATGTGTGCAGCCTGAAAGGCAGCTGCTGATGCAAAAGTAGAAAGACCTTTCAATGATTTCTGAGTGACTCAGCAGTCCCATGATGCATTGTGCAAATAACCCCTAAAATGTAAGGGATGAGATATCAAGAAATTGTCTTTATTACCCAAACAAAATTACTGTAGCAAAAAGTTACTGTCGTTATCCTTTAATAACAGCAAAAGCGAGATTTTAGAGATGAGCCGTGTTGCCATGCTTAACTCTTCTCCAATGTTTGCTGCTACTTGGAAATATGCAACCATCACTAATCACCAAAGACAATCATCCAGAGCAAAGAATTGAGACAGGGAACAGGGAAGAGACCTATGGACTTCAGCATAGCACTAGTGAAGGCAACTCAGCTGGCTGAGAATTCTCTTACACATATTCCAATGCTAAGTAGCATTTCTCTCCAGTTACATTAAATTTCAAGTCTATCTTCTTTTCCAGTTACCAAAAATGTTTAATGCAAGGATAGAAATGTCTGAAGCAAACAGAAGGGCTAATTTTTTTGTTAGAACTGTGAAGCAAGGTGACCCAATGTTAACCAACACTCCCTCTAGATAATCCCCAACTCTGATATTCTTTGTCTGGTTGATGTAAATGCACACATTGCATGGAACAACACTTTTTGGCCTCACTTGGAAATAACACAGAAGTTATTCTCAGCCAAAACAATTTGCTTTACAGTCTGTGTCAGGCATGAAATTAAAAAACACCAAGAACTAAAATCAAGATCTCTTGCACATATCTATGAAACACTGGTATGTACATTATTTAATAATCAGAGGTCTTGAATCAATATGTATTTCTGACTCGTAAATGGCCAACCACATAGTTTGTTCAAAGCTATGCCACAAAGAGTCTATGTGTTGTATCAGAGCAGCTAGGCAGTGGATAATGTGGAAGAACAAAATGGAAAGGCCAAATAGGAAAAGCTGTGTATGAGCTGACTGCTACTCTCTGCTGCTGAAACTCTCCACAGAAGGGATGGCAGACCATGTACGACATGACGGATTGCAAACAAACTGTTGACTTTCTATGTAGGGAGTACCAAAACAGGATGAATGTCTATCATTAGTAGAAGCAATTCAGCTTCTGCTAAGACAGAAATAGAGAGCTTGTCAGATTGTTCTGGCTCGCACAGTTTCAATCATGGACAAGTTGGCTTCCAGGAAGATTCACCATGAAGACCAAATCCATTATGTCACACAAAGAGTCAGTGGTGGAAAGCTGCAGCTGATGGATGACAGGAGAATACCAACAAACACCATATGTGACTGTTTTATGAGGGACGCCAGGGGATTTATGGACCAAGACAAAACATGACAATGCTGACCGTCACAAGGGAAAAAATGCACTCATCACAGGTTGCCAACGCATAGGGAAGTGCTGGGCCCATCTCTTTCAGTTTTGTTTCAGCAACAGCACAACCACCAGCAGAAATGTGTTGGACTCACTTCTGGGAACATTTGGTTAAGCTACTAGTCAGAGCAAGGATGTGTCACTTAGGCACTATTTATCTACACTATGAATATCAGGATTTGCTTTTGAACTGCCCTAAGTTTGTCTAACCTATCTGGTTAACACAGTGCTCAACTGATGAAGAATTGATGCCCAGCATTTGGCACATACCAGCCCTTTTTTCTGCCATTTCCATATGCAGGTCTAAACTGCATATCTGCTCACTTTTCCTGAGCACGTTTTGAAGAACCATGTCAATTTTGGAAGTCTATTCCATCCAGATCAAGTTTTCTATTAGAATGAAGGTTTCAAAATTGTTCTGCCTACCAGATGTTCTCTCCCCATGCAGCATGTCCATACTGGAGAAGTTCCCATCAGCATTCTGCAGTGCATTCTCATCAGCAAGCTTTTATTCTCCCCAGGTACACACTGACATGACATCCCAGACCACAGAAGAAAATTCTCAGATACACTATGTACTGCTCTATACCTACATTTTATTTTATGAACTGTAAATGTAAACTTGATTCAGAGAAGAAAAACAGTGTTTGTAAAACCTGTAATTTAGCTATCACATGGCAAAACCAAAATAAAGAAATCAATGGAAGCATGCATTTTCAGCTGAGGAATCAGCTGTCAGTTCTTTAAAGCAACAGAAGTTGGGAACACACATTTTATTTTTCATTTCCACACAAAAAAATCATATTGGGCTGCAGATTCAGTTACTGTTCTTCCACTATTTTGAAAATATTAATAAAAATTTATATGTTGAGCAGCATTATATCTCTTAGAATCTAGTCTTTGTGTGACTGCACTTTGAGTGATTTTTGCACATTTCAGTTTTGGACAAAAGCAGTATAATAAATTAAATCAAGAGACACCGCTGGGATAAGGAAGTCATAATATAATGATAGCATAGACTAAATATTCTGCCTACAGCAGGTCTGGAATATGAGTCCTCACAAATACTTCTGAATTTTGTGAGAAAAGGAATTTCATTAAAACCAATTGGCAATTGTCTTTATCCACAGACACCTTTCAGAGCAATTCTGATGACTTTGTCAAGGCCCCCAGTTCTCAACTGCTGACCTGTTCACCTGTCCAAGAACTGCACTTCAGCAACACGGACTGCATTTATTGGGCCACTGAATCAAACAGAAAACCATCTGTTAATTTAGAAATCACTTACCCTAATCAGAGCCACAATTCTAATCTGACTGTGTCCACCAGCAGTGTGAGAAAGAGTATTCAATGATACTGAAATAAAACAAAGACAATACTATATGAAAACTAGGTAGCAGAAGAGAGACTCAACAAGAAGTCAGACCTTAAGGTAAGAATCAATACGAAATTCAAACTGCGCCTCTTACTGGGAAATCTGGAATTTGGTACCCTTCCTCAAATGCAGATTTATATTTTTAACTGCCAGTACTTTAACTATTTGCACTGTGGCTATCATGTTACCAAAAAGCCATTTACTCAAGAGAAGTCCAAAAAGTTAAGTCTTATGGAAAATCCTAATTTAACAGCATTCCTACAAAATAGTTTCAGGCTCATAAGCACCTGGTGACTCGGATTTTGTGCAGTCACATACATGCACAATCACAGACACTAGCAAGCTTTATAAAACAATTCATCAGGTGCAAGGCAACAGACAGTCAAGCATGGCAAGTTATGTAGCTTAGTGTATTTTTAGTTAAGCTTCTTCTTATTATTACTGCCTATTACTATTAAATTCTGATGCCACAACAGTATTTACAGGTACATTCAAACTGAGCTGCCCTGTGCCAGTCACTATGCAATACCTGTAAGCACTTCACTCTACTCAAAAGACATCAAATCAGAACTCTGGATCTTTCAAGGTTTGTCCTTCTCCTTGAAACCTTGGTTTCACATTTCACTTTGCACTGGCTATTCCATCATTTTTCAAACCTTTCTGGTTATTCTACCTGTCAAAGAAATGTGCATTAGCCTCCAACAGGAAAAGGCCGTGTACCTGTAAGTGAAAAGCAATTAAGTTAATAATGAAAACAGTCAAGGTTTGTGTAGCTCTGTCAGAAAAATCAGAGATTTATTAATGGTACATTGGTTGGTGAAGAGAAATGTTAACTCCTGTTCAGTTAACTTGTATATGCTTTGTACACATTTTGCTTTTGTAAGAACTGGGGAGTTAAACTATATTAATAGAGGCCTATTAAGGGGGCAAGTTTGTGTTCACAAAACCTTTTGACCTACCAATCAATATTCACTAGTTCCAGCCACACATTGATATAAATGAACTGCAAGCTTTTCCTTTTGCAGTGAGAGAGCACTTACACTTCTATGCTATGAAGCTTTAAATGAGTTTATGGGGGATAGAGAGAGAATCTGAACAATTTCATCCACAAGAGCAGAAGTACTTGAATTTTGTAGATTTGCGTCAAATAGGTCACAAAATATTTCAGCTGAGGATAAACTGAGCGCCTACTGAAGATACTGAAAATTTGGACCCTGTGACTAACTTCTTAGAAACTGGCTTGCCATTGCCATTCCCAAACTTCCAGCATCCTTAACCCATCACAACTTCACAACACATTCTCACTCCGGTTGGCCTAGGTATAGCTCTGTGCTAACATTAGGTGGAATGGTTGGTGGCCCTGCACGTGGCAGGGGGGTTGGAGATTCATGATCCTTGAGGTCCCTTCCAACCCTGGCAATTCTGTGATTCTGTGATTCTGTGAATCCTGAATGCAAGCCTGAGGAATCTTGAAATCTGACTCATTGCAAGTCTCATAGGGATCCAATTTGCAGATATGGCCTAGAGCTACCCCTCCCTTTCTACACTTTATTTCCTTTCCAACTTCATTCTTGCACTGGAATAAAGAAAAGGAGACATGTTGCTGAAGTATTTATTTCAGTTCATGACCACTTGAAATTAGAACTGACTCATAAATAAAGCAGCACTGGCAGATTTGGGGTAAGAATATCTGATTTACAGACAGCAACACTTTGTGCAGAAATAGCCTTGATTAGTAGCCATCTTCATTTAGTAGCTGCCTACTTACGACACGGTTTATAATAGACATTGCCTTCATTCATTAGCTGTTCTTGTTTAGTGCAATATTTGCTCCTTTATCACACGCACCTTTAAGCAAAGCTGCAGGGGAAAGCAATTAAATGCAATCGAAACAGTGCCGTCTAAACAAAGATATACAGGATGCTCCCTCTGCTAACATTGCTGAAGGCCATGATTGTAATTTATAACTAAACAAATGCCCATATGTATGACATTACAAGCTCTGAACCATGATGTGCAGGTAATGAAACTGTACAATCCTTATTTATGCTATGAAACAAGCTGTTACTTTTACTGCAGCTAGAGAGGCGCTTATTCTCACGCTGCACGCAGGTGCAGCACTCAGAGAGTCCATGAGGATTTGCAAGTGCACTGCTGGGGCAGGTAAGGGCTGCTCAGTTAACTATACACTTGGTTTTTAAGACCCCATACTCCCAAGAGATAGGAGATTGTCCTGAATGCATATAACCACACCAGGTGAACTGGCTTGAAAACATTTTATAACCAAATTAGCTTTACAACCTATGGGTTCCTTTTAACCTTTTATTGCCCAGTTGGCCCACTAGTAAAATGTGACAGGAAATGTTCAATTTCCTCTATAAAGCAATTTGAATTCAAGGGATACTAGGTGTTAAGCACTGCCCATTAACAAGCAGCATTACTATAAATTCAGTGTAATTAATAACCAATAAAATTATTTAAAAAGTGGCAGTAGGACTTTGAGTTGGGTGCAGCATATCCTTGCTGCATTATCACCTATTGATGGCCACTAAAGGCAAGACAGTCTCCTGCAAGGCTACCCCAGTTACTGAAGTAGAGAAAATGCACAACAACTTCTCCATATTGTAACCATAAAACATGTGACTAGAGGAAAAGAGGAAACCTGTCTGTGTCGTTGGGTTTTCTTACACACTGGGGAGTGCTGGCAGCTGTGTGATAGAGCAGCCCCAAAGTTCCCACACTGGCTTGAACTTTCCAAGGAATAACTCTGTGCTCTTTCTGCAATCCAGGCAAAACCATCTGCTTCAACACAGCAGCTAGGAATGTCATCTCGTGTTACTGTCCTTTAGTTTCAGCTCTACACACTCGTATCATACATCCTTCCATCTCTATTTCTATGGCTGACACGTTAAAAAGAATGAAACCCACCAACACTTTTCTGTTGTTAACTTTAATTTCAGCAGAACGGCTGTCATGAGGAATTAATACCATTGCATTTAGCAATTTAATTAATACAAGAATATTAAAATTACAGTAGTAATGAGTAAAAACTATTCACAGCCATAGCAGTGCCAGAACTCTTGAAATTCAGCATAAAAAAATATGCAACACTAATGAATTAACATAAACTCTAGGGTTTGAAAGCAACATTTGAATTCTTTTCTATCCAATCACATTTCTGCTCTCAGCCCAAACTAATTATTAATCATTTCTCTGCTGGTGATGGGGGCTAATTTGTAATTTTATTTCATCAATTTTTATTAGAGCAAAGAAGACAGGTAGTTTGGTTCTATTTTGCATCTCTAAAGACAGGGGAAAAATATATGTGGATGCAGAATTTCAGCTTATGGCATCTAAATAAATCATCTTCCCCCGCAGAAGCAAAAGGAAAACAAATATCAAACTCTTATTGATCTTCACCTCCTACTCACCACACTGGATCTCACAACTAGCATCAAAATCTGAATGCAAAATACATAGTTTGTTATCATTATGATTACAGAGCTCAGCTTGAATTTAGGTAGCAACAAAGCATATGTCACAGTTATCAGTCAGCATACATGGACAGCCTTGCCCTGGAGGTGTGAGCTGCTCTACTCTTCTCCACGAGCTGCAGGCAGATCCCCCAGTTCTGCAACTGCACCATTTTGCAGTGACCTTACCAGGTAATGTTTTGCTATGAGAACAGCCATGCTCCTGGCATGAAGTGGTGTGATGTGCTAAGCCTGCTCATACCTGCTCAGCTTTTTACTTTTCTTGGATAAGGGTTTGAATCAACTTAAGGATTAACTGGGAGACAAAGGAGTAGCCATTGTAAATACAGAGAGTAAAAATGACAGAATATAACCCATCACAAAGTTCTAGTGGTGGTAAATACAAGTGGTGAAAATTCTTTTGGAAGATGTCACAGACGTCTGGACCGGACTAAGTGTAGCAAAAACATGTATTTGGCACAAGACCAAATTAATAGACACAAATCAGGGCTTCCAAAAATTAAAGCTCAGAGACGTTCCATATACAATCATCTAGATTCCTTTCAACAGCAAATTTCCCATTGGCAGACCGAATCCTGAGTTATACAGAACATTTGCATTCTTCATTTTAGCAAGTGCGCAAAATTCGTTTGTTTGGCCGAGTGCCACCAAACAGCCACGTGAGCGCAGTGACCAAGAACCGGTGCAAGGGGAAACTGGCACAGCCAGATTAACATTTCTGCGATACCCAACCAGCAAAACTGCCAGTTATTTCAGATTCTATCCCACTGCCCCCAAAAAGAAAAAGTCTTGGCTGATAAGCCAAGGTTTACTTGAATAAAAGATCTCCGGAACCAGATTTTTAGCTACATAAAGTAGCTGTCATGCATCAAAATGAAGATATATTGAGGGAAGTGGCAGCATTCTAAGTGTTTGGGAACGTCCACAGACAACTGCATGTGCCCTGTACATAACAGCATTTCTGAGCTGGGGGAACTGGCTTCAAGGACATGTAATTCATCAACCCAAAATGTAAGCAACACTTTGGCTGCCATCACATGTGTCTGCTTTGATCTTCTGTAAATATCCTGGGCCTTCAGTGAGGTTTCCAGGATTCTATCTTCCTCAAAACCACTCAGGACTTTACCTCTACATCACCCAGCAATTAGTTTTCTTAAGCAGATTAATAATGATTGGTGCCATGACCTGGCCCCAGTGAAATTAATTCTATAGCTCTTTTTAACTTAATTCAACAAAAACCCACTCATCCCAGTGGACTCACCGATGATTTTAATCTATACATTTAGACTAGTATAATAAGTTATTAATATAAATTAAATAAGAGAGAGCCCTACCATTTGTTTTACACAGAACAGTGATAGAATAATTAAAGCCAGTGAGCATTGGAACCATACAAAAAGCCTTTGAATATTAAACCAGATATAAGTCAGAGTTGTTTAAAAAGTATATGATTAGAGAGACTGTCGGAAAAAAATCTTTTTTTTTTTCATTCAACAT